AACAGTACACATATTGCCATATGACAATGGTTAACAACCCCACAACATGTCAACACTGTCCCTTCTCAACCTTGGGTTCCTTTTACCAGCTTTCCTGTCCCCTCTTGCCTTCTAGTCCTTGTACCTGGATTGCTGTGCCGCATTAGTCCAGTTTTGTTTTATGGTGCTGTCCAATCCCTTGCTGAACGGTGAACCTCGGGAGTGACTTCACCACCGCGCTAAAAGGGTGTCCAGGGGCCATGCTCTTGGGGTTTCTCCAGTCTGTCAGGCCAGTAAATCTGGTCTTTTTTTGTGAGTTAGAATTTGTTCTACATCCTTCTCCAGCTCTGTCCAGAACACTGTGTTGTGATCCCGGTCAGAGCAGTCAGCGGTAGCTGGGAACCATCTAGCTGTACTGGACTCAGTCTGGTGGAGGCCTTGGTAACTGTGGTCCATTAGTCCTTTGTATCAATCTTTTTCTTTTATCCTGTTCTCTTCATTCCCCCTTGCTCCCAAAGGGGTGAGACCAGTGGGGTATCTTACGTGGCTGCTAACAGGCTTTTAAGACCCCAGACACTACTCACCAAGGTAGAACGTAGAACATTGTCTTTGTAAACTGTGTTATGCCAATTGACCTAGATGTTCTCCAAGACCTGTATGTCTAGTTTTTGAGAGAGGAAACCATGCTTTATTTGTCTTTACAGACAAATATAGAGCCTGGCTCCATGTAATGTACACATATAAATGCTTAGTGAATGAATGAACGGTAGCCAGGTTGGAGTTACTCTACTTCTAGGTGAAAAGATGCATTTTGAATAATTATTAAAATGCATGAGAATATGAGTAACACAGGGCCATATGTAGCAGAGCCACTCTGGTGCTGTTAAGTGCTAGCATTAGATAAAATGGAAACTGCTTGGTTCCATGGAGCAATAATAAGATTTGCACCTAGGAGACTGCAAGTGGCTTTTCAGATGTAAAAAGTTCTGTCACTTACAAAGAGAGAGGAAAAAAAAAAAAAGGCCAGGTCAGTAGGGCCTGAAGCCAAATGGAGAAGAAGATTAGGCTTAAGAATCAGCGTGGTAGACCTAACTGATTTGCAGAAAGCCAAGGAGTCTTATAGCTTCTCCAGGAGTGAGAGGTAAATGTCAGGGTAGGGAAGGGTTTTCCAGGTCAGCTAGAGCAGACCGGGGAGTGAGATCACTGTAGTGGCTGGAGTTCATGAGTTGGGTGGAGGTGTTAGGTCTCTGCTGCAGAAAATTCATGGAGGAAAACAGAAACAGACTAAGAAGCTCTGTTTCTAGGAGGTGAAGTAGATAAGGGACAAGGGAAGGTGGTGTTCCTCTACCCTCACACCATAACCATGAGAGAGCAGAGTCATTTCCTAGCTAGAGCCCTGAGGCTGAGTACTAGCATGCTTACGGATTTGGATGAAGGGACAAGTTTTAACACAGAGCTATAGTAGTAGAAGCTGCCAACTTACCGAGGTTAAAAATCAAAGGTGACAAACACTAATGCCTATAGAGATCGGGTAGATGCCATGAAAAGGCAAAGTGGTCTGGCTGTAAGAGTCTTTTATTCCAACATGGTCAATTATTTTATTTCAGTCTTTGTATGCAACTGACACATAGCGGCATAGGGAGTAATAGGACATGGTGGGAACTAGGGTCAGGAGTAGCATGCATGGCCCATCTAAAGGCTCTGCCATTGTCACCAGCTGAGGATGTGCATCCAGTGTTGCCAGGTCTTTCAGGTTTTGAAGAAAGCTAGAAACCCACATTTTCATGAGAAAACTTCTGATTTTCAAATGTTCAATCAGAGAAAATGAGAATTTAAAACCCCAGGTAGACAAAAAAAATTCTTTGGGCTGAGTTCAGTCTGTACAATACTAATTTCTAAACTGCCAAGATCTGTAGATTCTAGGATATAGGAAGGAATAAAAAATGGAAAGTTTTACATGGGATGGTAAGAAAGGGCAAGATTAAGCCAAGGCATGATTTAACGAAGATGCATAGATTTTTAGAGTAAGTACAAACTGAACCAGAATCTAATGTCACCGGGACTTAGAAACATGGAATTTTAGACCTGCAGGAAACTACTGTGTTCCCACCCTCATAATGGGTTTTAGGGCAGGAGTCAGCAAACTAAGGCCCACGGGCCAAATCCAGTTCACCATCTGTATTTGTACAGCCCCGGAGCGAAGAATGGTTTTTACATTTTTAAATGCTTGAGAAAAAAATTAAAAGAAGATGAAATATTTTGTGACACGTGAAAATTATATGAAACTCAAATTTAAGTGTCTATAATTAAAATTTTATTGAAATAATAGCCATGCTCGTTTATCCAAGTATTTTCTACGGCTACTTTCATGCTAGAACGGCAGAGTTGAGGAGTTGCGATGAAAATCATGTGGCCTAGACTTACTGCACCAGTAGAAACTAGATAAACCTCTGAGACTATCACCCTGAGATATTCTTTAAACTTGGAACTCAAACCACTCTCAGAGATCACCCTTCTGCCAAATGACAGATTCGCCCATAAAATAAATAATATCACCTGTAAGTACTGTGTTCCTCAAAATAATTATCTAGATGAAACCAAATAGTAAACATTTACCCTAGACCAAAAATGAGAAGAGAAGGCTGAGGGGGACAGGGAAGCTAGACTAACAGAAACAGAACAACTAAAATAGAAATAACCAGAATACTGATACATTGTGAAGAATGTAACCAAAGTCACTGAACAATATGTATAGAAATTGTTAAATGAGAACCTAACTTCCTGTATAAACTTTCACCAAAAACACAATAAAATATTTTTTAAAAAAATCATATGGCCTGCAAGACATAAAATATTACTGTCTGGCTCTTTCTAGAAAAAGTTTGTAGACTCCTTACCTAGGGTATCATTGCTGGTTTGTGGAAATCATGTTCTTGAATTTCGTATTTTCTTTTATATAACTTTTATATAAATATATGAAATTTATATATATGATAGATAGATAACACATACTTATATATGTATGTATTACCAAGTAGATTATAATTCGTATTTAGTTTGTTCATAAATAGCAACATTTTCCTACTAAGGCTGATTATGGGACTGTCAGTTCCCCAGTGAAACTGGAAGGATTCAGGAGCCGGCAGATCTGAATTTTATTTCAGTGACCTTAGTCAGTTCACCTAAACCCTATGGATCTCAATTTCATTGGCCTGAAATTTGGAAGTTGGAATAGAACAAATAATATCTAAGATTACTTTCAAAGAGAAAATATGGTGATTCTCAACCATCTAACATTTTAGAAGGTTGTTAGGGAATGAAGGTAGAACCATTAGAGAGCCGGATTAGGGAGGTTTAGGCATGTGTGCTTTGACAGGCATACGTGATCTGAGATGGAGCCACCACCTTTCACCGGACCGTTCAGATGCTGGAGGATCTGGAGCACAGATACAAGTAAACATCGCCATCTAGTGGCAACTCCCTTGAATTCACCTGTCCAGCCATGCATCCATGCATCTATCCATCCATCCATCCGTCCGCAAGTGTCTACTATGTGCCAGAAGGAGCCTTGGTGGTGCAGTGGTTAAGCGCTTAGCTGCTAACCAAAAGTTAGCAGATCTAACCCACCAGCTGCTCCACAGGAAAAGTGGCAGTCAGCTTCTGTAAAGATTACAGTCTTGGCATAACATAGTTTATAAAGAAAATGTTCTACATTCTACCTTGGTGAGTAGTGTCTGGGGTCTTAACAGCCTGTAAGCGGCCATCGAAGATGCTCCACTGGTCTCACCACTTCAGGAGCAAGAGAGAATGAAGAAAACTAAAGACTCAAGGGAAAGATTAGTCCAAAGGACTAATGGACCACAACTACTGTGGCCTCCACCAGACTGAGTCCAGTACAACTAGATGGTGCCCGGCTACCACCACTGACTGCTCCAACAGGGATCACAACAGAGGCTCCCAGACAGAGCTGGAGAGAAGTGTAGAACAAAATTCTAACTCACAAAAGAAGACCAGACTTACTGGCCTGACAGAGACTGGAGAAACCTCGAGAGTACGGCCCCTGGACACACTTTTAGCTTGGTAATGAAGTCACTCCCAAGGTTCACCCTTCAGTCAAAGATTAGACAGGCCCATAAAACAAAACGAGACTAATGGGGCACAACAGCCCAGGGACAAGGATTGGAAGGCAGGAGGGGACAGGAAAGCTGATACTAGGGAACCCAAGGTCGAGAAGGGAGAGTGTTGACGTGTCGTGGGGTTGTTAACAATTGTCATAAAACAATATGTGTACTAACTGTTTAATGAGCAGCTAGTATGTTCTGTAAACCTTCATCTAAAGTACATTTAAAAAAATTTTTTTTTAAAATTACAGCCTTGGAAACCTTCTGGGTCAGTTCTATTCTGTCCTATAAAGTCACTATGAGTCTGAATCAACTCGACAGCAATGGGCTTAGCTTTGTTTTGTTTGTTTTGAGTCAGAATTGAGGGGTTTGGTTTTTTGGTTACTATGTGCCAATACTATATAACGGTGAACAGTGAACGAGAGAGATCCTAAAGTGTCAGTCCCTGTGGAACCTGAGTTCTAATGGGGAAACATACAAGCCCGAAGTCCCACAGTGATAGTCTAGCTCTCAGTAATTGATTTTGTTCAGATGTCCCAAACTTGGAGGCCAAAAACAAAGATAATACACTAAGCTACTTGCTCATTTAAAAAAAAAAAAGTGAAAAATTTATCTTTTCATGGAGAGGAGATGGACACATTACATGTTGGGTAAAGCAGCTTCTGAAATAAGCCAGCTTAAAAGTTCATTTTTATGGTATTTTTAAATACTCTCTATCACTTCAAGTATTTTTCTTTTTTTCAATTTTTAAAATTTATAAGACCATAGCTGATTTTTTTTATAATGTAAGTAAATATTTTTATGCTATTGAACATCATGGAAAAATATAATAAACTACAAATTATACATTTCATTATTAATAAACATGAGATTAAAATGTCTTTTCTTCTTGTAATAAAGGGTCTGACCCCATTTTTGAAGTTTGGCTGCTGACAGTTTTCAAGCCCCACCACTTCCTTCATCCCCTTCTGCTCCACATCTGGGAAAGCCGGTAAGAGTTCTTGATGCTCCCTTCTTTGGTGCTGTGGGACGTTCAGACCACACGACCCCATGGCCAACATGAACTTTCGCCTCAGTTCCACCTGCTGATCACAAGAAAAACCAAGTCAGCCTCCTTTCTCTGCTCTCTCAAGCCATCCTTGGACCTACCTGGGAGCTTCCCTGTTCTTCCTAGAAAGCCTCATTATGTGAGTAACAAACCTTTTCCTGTGCTTCTGTGTGTGTGAGGCATCATCAGTCTCCACATCTGAAAGAAATTTGGGGGGTGGGGTGGTCCATCCTGCCTCTGTGAAGTGACCCCGACAATTCTATTTTTAGAAACAAGCATACATTTGGTATACACGCATATTATACATGATTATAATTAAATACCAATCTGAACATTTCTCTTATAATCTATACAAAACCATTCATTAAAGGCCAAGTAGCAAGAGACAAAGTTTTAAAAGGTTGGAAGATGCCCTTGGCAGGGTGACTTGTGCCTTTATCCTCAGTATCTAAAGAACATTTTAAAAATATAAAAATTTGACCTGAAAGGAAATAGTGTTATATAGATCAGATAGCCCTGATGATCACATGTAAATCAGAAATGTTCGTTACAGTAGATGCATTCGCACGACGGGTGGGCTAAAGGAAACTCCCATTCCTGACGTTACATACCGGAGGTTTTTCATCTCCTTTACATCTTTCCTTCCTGCACACCCAGAGACACCGGAAGGAAATATGTTACCAAAGCAAAAATTATCTTTAGCCCTATTTTACAAAAAAATGCTTCCAACAAATATCATTGTGTTTATTTGAATAAGTCAAAATGCAGTGACAAATATTTGTAAATGTATATGTCAAGAAAGAAGACACCTTCTGTGGCTCCTTCATCTGTAATTTCTTGCTTCCAGGTAGAGAAATGTCAAACTGTCACTTTGGTGTCGATTTTTAAGATAAAAATTGGTCATTTGAGCTTCCATTCTCTTTTGTCTTCTTTATAATCGGGGCTGCAGATTTTCAAGCCAAATAACGGAGAGTAAAAGGAAGAGATCTGAGCAGGAATCCCAGCATCTGCACCAGCTCCACTGGCACCTGCCCTGGCTGTTATAGCTCCACCCTCCTGGAGTTCAGAACAGCTGAACAGAAGGTTTGAATCTTGAAAGCTCACTAACACTCTTAAGAAGGCTTAGTCCCCCTAGCATGTTTAAGTATGCTAATAGTTATCCATAAAATGAAGATTACTTTTAACATCAGGATTGTGTTTTTAATCTATGATTTCAGCATCATGAAAATTAAATAGACAGGCTTTGTCATGAGTTGAGTTGTGTCCCCCCAAAATATCTGTCAGCTTGGCTGGGTCATGATTCCCAGTGTATGATTGTGTAATCTGATGTGATTTCCTTATGTGTTGTAAACTCTACCACTATGATGAGGTTATATGTGATCTCCCTATGTGTTGTAAATTCTATCACTGTGATGAGGTTATACTGATGAGGTTTACAAGATTAGATAGTGTCTTAATGCAATCTCTGTTGAGATATAAAAGACAAAAGTGAGCAGAGACACATGGGAACCTCATACCACCAAGAAAGCAGTGCCGGGAGCAGAGCACGTCCTTTGGACCCGAGGTTCCTGCATGGAGAAGCTCCCAGACCAAGGGAAGATTGATGACAAGGACCTTCCTCCAGAGCTGACAGAGAAAGCATTCCCCTGGAGCTGATGCCCTGAATTTGGACTTGTTGCCTACTGGACTGTGAGAGAATAAACTTCTCCTTGTTAAAGCCATCCATTTGTGGTATTTCTGTTAGAGCAGCACTAGATGACTAAGACAGGCTTATTAATAGAAAACATGTGAAAGTAAATAGAATTTGTAATTTGTTTACTATTCTTTGTACGTTGGGTTTAGAATCCTGAATCTTCAGCATGTTATTAAGTTTCTTTTGGTGGCAGAAAATGACCTGCACTCACTTCAACAAACTCCAAAGCACAAATGAATTGGAAAGATCCTCGTTGTCCTTGGAGCCGGCAGGAAGCAGGATCAGAAAGTGCATCAGCAAGGCTCAGCTCCAGTGATTCTCTCTCTGTCTGTAGTTCAGATTTCAGATTCTTTAAAAATAGGATCTGATTGGCCAGGATCAGGGTTCATCCTTTGGCCATCAGCTATGGCCTTAGGCAAAGTCATGTAGAACTGGCCCTGATGCTGGCAGTTCCTAGAAAGGGAAGAATGGTTTTGAGCAGGACATCTAACCCAAGGGGCACCTGCTACATGCACTTGCACAAATTTTGTAAAATTCTTCACACAAGAAAGATGAATGATGTTTCTCAAGTCCAACAGCTAACTATCCCCATGTTGAATCATCAGGATTAACTCAGTAAATAGATCTAAAGGTCTGTGATAATTGCATGAAATGACATATAAACAAATCTAAAAAAGGCAGACAAAGTAGTCCAAAAAGAGTTTTGTGATTTGTATGTAGTTTCAGGAGTCCCTGGGTGGTGCAAACAGTTAACATGCTTGACTGCTAACCGAAAGGTTAGAGATTTGAGCCCACCAAGTACGGAGCACAGTTCTACTGTGACACACATTTTTTTTAATGTAGTTTCATACTCACTTCTCAGTAAAAATATCTATTTTCCTGTTATGATAGACAACACCAGCACTTTATAGCCATAATCTTTAATCATCATAACCACTATACAAGGTAGATACCATTAAGTAATTTTTCCAGAGTTACATAGTTACTACTACTACTACTGTTTTCTTTTTCCTTACCAACAGAGGAAAGTTTTATTTGGGTTGGCAATATGCCCAACCTAAACACAGTAAAACCTGCAAAAAGCCATAACCTGTGTAAGGCAGAAACCTGTCAGAGAAGGAAAATGCAAATATTTTCCACTAATAGAGAATGATAGAAAAGTGGTAAGAGTGCATCCAGTCAATGAGAGAGAAGCAGAAGTCATTGGGAAGGCTGGAGGAAACTGAGTTTTTCCTTCTGACAGGAACATAGATGTCATGACTAGACCTCCTACAGCCTGGAAAACTTGAGAATGGAAATCAGCTCTAAGGATGATGGATAAATAGATGGAAGGAGCTTGAGTCCCTGATGACTGTAGAGTTGCCATTTCATCCCTGGACTTATTTACCATGAGACAAAAATAAACCTGTGTCTTGTTTATATCACTGGTATAAACTTAGTGAAACTTAGTCCAAATTACAACAGCTACTAAATGCCAAATCAGGATTTGAATCCAAACATATATGATGCTAAAATCTCATGTTTCTTCCATTGCCTCGCATGCTTTCCTGACTGAGGATGAGGGAGATCTGGGAACAAGCCTGGGTTCTGCCACTAATACTTAAAACAATATACAGGTAGTCCCCCGCTTTCAAGGCATTCAAGTTATGATGAACCACACTTATGACTGTCTGTTTGTTTGTTTTATACCTCTTATTGTTAGTAATACGTATTACATATAATGTTGCAGCGCATAATTTGCTGATGTTATCATTCTCAGATGTTCACTCACAGATGTTCAATGTTATGATTTTTAAAGATACTGATAATAAAAGGCAATAATAATGAAAACTAAGAGAAAATGAGGTATTCAATTTACATCAGAACCAACTTACAACGATGTTGTCAGAAGGAAACCTGTTATAAATCAGGGACTACCTGTATGTCAAGACCTCTAAGAGTCATATGCTATTCTAGGCCCTGCTATACAACGGTGAACAAAACAGACAAAAGTCCCTGGGGCTTACATTCTTATTAGGGGCAACATATAATTACAAAGATAATAAGTCATTGTAGAGTATGTTAACCAAAAACCAGTTGCACTGGAGTTGGTTCTGACTCATGGTGACACTTTGTGTGTCAGATAGAACTGTGATCCATAGTGTTTTCAATGGCTGATTTTTCAGAAGTAGATCACCAGGCCTTTTTTCCAAGGAGCCTCTGGGTGAACTTGAACCTCTAACCTTTCAATGAACAGCCACGCATGTTAACTCTTTGCACCACCCATGGATAGAGTATGTTAGATAGTGACAATAAGTACTATGAAGAAAAACAAAGCAGTAAAGGCACATAGGGAGTGCCAAGAAGAAGGGTTTCAGTTTTCTTTAGGGTGGTCACAGAAGCCCTCATTGAGAAGTTGACAATTGAGCAAATACCTGAAGGAGGTGAGAGATTAAGACAAATGAAATATTTAGAATGGGTGAATGCATAGAGACAAAAATTTATTAGTGGTCCCATCAACAGATGAATGGATAAACAAAATGTAGTACATACATACAATGAAGTATTATGCAGCCATAAAGAAAAATGAGTTCTCAAATCATCTTGCAACATTGATGAACCAGGAGGACATTATGCTGAGCCAAATAAGTCAATCACAAAAGGACGAATATTGTAGGATCTCACCTTTAAGGAATGACAAGAATAGGTATATATACAGAGACCAGTGTTCATTGGAAGTTACCAAGGCAGGAAGAGGGAAAGGGAGAATCATTCTCTAGGTAATAGTCACTTTTTGTTTATGGTGACAAGATAGGTAGTACCGAATGTGGGGTGAAATTTGCACAGCTTAACTAGTGTAATTGATGCCACAAAATTGTCTATAAGAAAAAGGATAAATTGGTAAATGCTATGCTGTACGTAAGGAGATCTGGTGGTGCAGGAGTTAACCACTAGGCTGCAAACCAAAAGGTTAGTGCTTTGAATCTACCAGTCACTCCATGGAAGAAAGATGTGCAGTCTTTTCCCATAAAGATTACAGCCTAAGAAATCCTATGGGACAGTTCTACTCAGTCCTATAGGGTTGCTATCAGTAAGAATCAACTCAACAGCAACAGGCAGCAGGTACATTATATATAATTTCACAACAACAACAGCAACCAGAAATATATAGAGACTATAGGAGCCTTGGTGGCGCAGCAGTTAAGCACTTGGCTGCTAACCAAAAGGTCAGTGGTTCAAATCTACCAGCTGCTCAGTGGAAGAAAGATGTGGGAGTCTGCTTCCATAAAGATTACAGCCTTGGAAACCCTATGGAGCAGTTCTACTCTGTCCTGTAGAGTCACCATGAATCGGCATCGATTCGAAGGCAATGGGTTTGGTTTTTGGTTATAGATAATAAGTCAAATAGAAGCTACAGATGCAGATACTTCTTAGACATAACCAATTGCCTCACAGAATTAGTTTTCTTGGTTTAAAGACTTAGGGTCATAGTCTCATGGGTCATTCAGTCAATTAGCATAACAGCTCATAAAGTTCATGTTCTACATTTTAGTTTGATGAGTAGCGTCTGGAATCTTAAAAGCTTTCAAGTCACCAAGATACAACTATTGGTCTCTATTCGTCTGGCGAAAAACAGAATGAAGAAAATCCAAGAACCAGAATATAGGACTCTGCATTGAGACCAGAAGAACTAGATGGTGCCCAGCTACCACTACCAAACTTCTGTTCAGGGTCACAATAAATGGATCCTGAGAGAAAGGAGAAAAAATGTGGAACAGAACTTCAAATTCTCAAAGAATCCAGGTTTACTGGCCCCATTGAGACTGAAGGAATCCCCCAGACTATTGCACTGAGATACTCTTTAAACCTTACCCAGAAACTATTCCCTGAAAGCACCTTTTATCTAAATAGTAGGTTAGATCAAAAAGTAAAGAATTTTACCCTTGAGAAGTGCACTCTTTTAAAAATTATCCATATGAGACCAAATGGACAATAGTTAACTCCAAACCATAGATTAGAAGTTTGGAGGGCAGTGAGACTAAATTAATGGGAGTGGAACAACTAGAACAGAAACATTTTTTTTTAAAAAGTTTATTGGTGGTTACCAGGGTCTGCGGGTGAGAGAGGAGTGGGGAGTTATTTATTGCTGAAGGGGTACTTAGTTTCTGCTTGCGGTGATGAAAAAGTTTTGGAAATAGACAATGGTGATGATTGTACAACATGGTAAATGTAATTAAGGTCACTGAATTGTACACTTAAAAATGGTTAAAATGGAAATATATATATATATATACCAAAAAACCCCCAAACCCATTGCGATTGACTCAATTCCAACTCATAGCGACTCTATAGGACAAAGTAGAACTGCCCCATAGCATTTAATCACTGTGCCATCAAGCTCCTAAGCTATGAGATGGAGTCCTGGTGGCAAAGTGGTTAACAGCCAGGCTGCTAACCAAAAGGTCAGTAGTTTGAATCCACCAGCTGCTCCTTGGAAACCCTATGGGGCAGTTCTACTCTGTCCTATAGGGTCACTGTGAGTTGGAATCAACTTGATGGCAATGGGTTTAAGCTATAAGATGAAAGGGTTGG